GCCAGAGTGACATCAGCATCTACCGACTAGCGGTGATGCACCTGCAAGCCACTTCTACCTTCATTCTGCAGCATGTTCAAGACAACCTGGATGTTCCCATATCGACCAGAACCAGTTGCAATTGATTGGTGTTAGTGGCCTGCACTCATGGCATCCGTTAAGAAGTCTGCCATTCACCCCACATCATAGATGCTAATGTGTGCAATGGTGCCAGGTTTGGGAGATGTGGACAATAGACTAGCACAGGGTCGTGTTCTCAGATGTGTTGCGCTTCTGCTTCTACAATGATAGTTGCTGTGTACAAGTGTGGTGTCGATGTGGACACAGGTCCAATCCAGCAGCAATTGTGTAATGCCCCACCTCGCAACATTGTGGCATCATTGTTTGGGGCACAATGGCATACGATTAAAGGCACTAGCCTATGTGGATGATGTGCTGCATCTGGTGACACTCCTTTACTTTCAGGGAGTATTCAATGCCCTTTATCAACAGGATAATGCCTGACCACACATTGCTCGCATCAGCCAACTTGCTCTGCAAGTTGTACAGATGCTTCCCAGGCCATAGTTCTCGTCTAATCTCTCACTTATTGAACACATTTGTGATGTGATTGGACACCATTTGCAGACCCTGTGATTGCCGCATTCAGAAGACAAACTGTAACAAATGGTTGACAGGAAATAGAGAGCTATTCCTCAGGACACCATCTGTAATAATAAATTTATTGAAACAGATAATAGGTTATCTACAATGTGTTTGACCAAATTGAAAGCAAAATCAAATGAAATCTGAAGTTTTAACAATAGAAAGACTGACATAAATCAAAATAGAATTCTTCTAACCTCTGTTTTTTCCACTGATAGGCATCATTCTATTCAGTTTTACGTTAGGTCGGAAACCTACTGAGTTCACGCTGTTCTCACTGTGTATTATGCATATCATTTTGAAATAAAAATCACTTATTGTCTCTCTCTGTTTGCTTAGTTTCATCACTTTCTGGGCACTCCTTCATGGTGTTACATTTTCAAATTTTCAATATCGGTTAGTGTATTTACAGCGGTACCTCAGTATACATCCACTGTGAACTACATCCAACTAATTTTTTGTTTGGTATATGACTCAAAGTTCGATTAATCACAATTGCATGGACATCCCTTATTTATCACTTTTGAGATAATGCCATGTGTGTCAGTTCACCTGCTATTCAGTAAACAGCCTCAGCTTAGCTCTGAATTCTCACGTGATTTTGTGTTTATCCAGGTAATTTTTTGGTAAATTCATTAACAGTGATTTTTAAGGTAATTAACATAAAGTGTTGAGCAACAGAAAAAATAGTTATAATCACATCACCATGGAGGTGAAAAAAAGAGATTGTTAAAAAATGTGAAGATGATTTTCATATCTGGGACTTAACTCCTGCATACTGTATGGTGAATCCCTACTGCTCTGTGCACACTGTAAATATCTGAGATTTTTAATTTGTTCATTAATCAGGATGGTCCAAAATTTCAACTCAATAAATGAATGAGCCATAACTCTAGCAATAAACATCATGAGTGAGCTGACAAGTGCCTTGAGGTTATAATATAGAAAGTGGATGTGCATTCTGCTTTGTTCTTTTTTGGTCTCATGTTCCTTAACTTTCTCTAATTATGATGTATTTTCTGAGCGATCATAGATATGCAGAAGAGATTACCGTGTTTGCTGGTGTATAAGACACACTTTTTTTTCTTTGAAAATAGGTCTAATAAACAGGGTGCGTCTCATACATCGATACTCAGTTTATTTGGAATTAGCATTTCACAAGTTTGTGAATGGGTCAAATATTCCTGGGATGCTGCGAAAACAGCCACAGTGGTTAAGTCATTGAAAAAGTGTGGCATTAGTAATGTACTGATGGTACAGAAGACAATTTGTTGTATGAGGACTCAGATGCTGATTTAGATGTTTGAAATGTCTCTTCATTTTGCTCTGGAGATGAGCGTTTGGGTTTTTGATGAAGAAGATTAAAAGGTGTTCTTTCCCAGGTAGATTGGATATTTGCAGAAAGTATTACTTTGTATTTGTATTACTTTATATTTAAAATACTGTAAATTCATTAGAATGATCAGTTTTAAAGTTTTATCCTTCAAAAATGTATATAAAAAAGGAGTGCATCTTGTACGACAGTTGTTTATTGAGGAATGATTGAAAATTTACTGTCACTAAAGTAAAATTCCTGTGGGAAGTACTAAAGAGAGAAGAAAATGGATGAAATAATAACAGTGATAACAAATAATATCTCAGTATTGAGGAATTATTTTTATCCACAATAGTACATAGCTTAATTGTATGTAATCTTAAATATGTAAACATTATTAAAACCTACATTAAAAATAAAGTACAAAATTATAAAAATTTAATTGCTAAATTATAAAAATAATTTTTCCTTAATATTGTGTCTCCCAATGATTATTATTGAAGTGCAAGAGTAGCATAAAAAATGTTCTTTTTGTTTTCAAATGTATTTGGATGCTGATTTATTTTGCATAACCAAATGAATATATTTTGAAAACTAAGCTGTTTAAAAATAGAGGTAAATTGTTAAATAGTACTTTTCTGTTAATCTGTGTTATTCCTCTTTTCTGTATTTATATATACTATATATTATATTAGTACAATCACCTTGATCCAGTTTGACAGTTTTTTACAAAAGAAAAAGAGTGATAATTTACAATTACAAAAAATTATTTATTACATACATTCACAGTATTATATATATATATTATTTAGTTATTTAGCTAGAAAATCAATCATAAATCCTCTTACAAGTGAGTTTTTGTTTCTTTTTGTTCTGGTGAATATTTCATGGCAACTGCTCTAAGAATAAATTCAAAGCAGTTTCTCCCTTTAATAATTTTGCAGCAAAATACTGCAATTCTGCAAATATTTTACGGCAGTTTTTCTTCCCAGGGAAATGAATACTGCAAGCATGTGTTTTAAAATTGAGTTTTAAGATTAAAAAAAATCAAGAATTTGTCAGTAAGTACCATTAAAACCTGGAATACAACAAAACAAACTCATATGAAAATGGTGGCATTGCTTGTTAAACTGCATGCATACAGTTGCCACAGTTTGGTGCATTGTGAAAATTTCATGACATCTATTAAGGTGGTCGAATTAAGCATCTGATATTATCCCATTTTATCATTAGTCTACTTTTCATCTAAAATAAAATGTTAATATAGAGTGTAGAGCAATGTTTCTCAATCTTAAATGGAGATCATTTTTATGACTTACGGTATTTTGCAGATCACCTTATTCTCTTCAAAAATAATGTTTTAGCATAATATAGTTATGTTTTTTATATACAATTAATTAACATTCAGTTAATTTTATATTGATATTAAGCAATTGAGTTAATAGGAGAAAATTTATATTAATTTTTATCCATTACTGTGTGTATGATCGTTACCTTTAATTTAAAAGTCAAACAACAAAAATCAGTGTTATATTTGCAAATTTTCTAGGACTTGTTTCGATGGCTTGTTCAAAAGTGCAAATGAGATAAGATATGGTGATAAGATAAGATAAGAAAGGCTGGACAGGAGTTAAGCTCCTGACACCATCTATTGATGAAACAAGAAAACTAAAACATAAAAATACAAAACATAAAAGGCTGAAGGTAATGATGGATTGGAATTAGGGTTATTAACTAGAACAGAAAGATTTTTTTCAATATAAAATGCCTGTAGAAAATCTTAATTCACCAATGGAAGATGTTTCATTGTTTTGAAGGCTACCAATGGAGTATATTCCGTTGGTGAATTCGATTTTCTACAGGCATTTCATATTGAAAAAAAATCTTTCTGTTCTAGTTAACGACCATAATTCCAATTCATTTTTACCTTCTAGCCTTTAAGGAAATAATGTTTTAGTTTCCTTGTTTCATCAATAGATGGCACCAGTAGCTTAACTCTTGTCTAGCCATTCTTATTTTATCAACCGTATCTTATCTCGTTCATTTATACTTTGGCAGCTGAGGAAGATGGTTCAGTAGTAAAACCATCAAAGCTAGTCCTGGAAAGTTTACAAATATAACACTGATTTTTGTTCTTTGACTTCTAAATTAATCATTGTTTGGCATGCTATTTTAACCTAAATTTATCTTTACTTTATTATTTAAAAATTAAGTAAATGTTGGTATTCTCATTAATGAGATGGATGAGCCTGCTGATTATTGTACAACTTTTCTGTGTTTGGATGTATATTTGTACACTTAAGTTTGAGATTGGCACAAACATCAGGTCAATCAGTTTTTGAATTTGCGATGAAAACCCTTTTTTAAAGCACAATTATTTACTATGTTCCATTTTCATTCATTATAACTCTGGGACACCATGTGTGTAGAGAAACAGTTGTGTGAAGCATCATAATAATAGTGCTTTAAATCTCTCTCTTGTTTTCAAGACTAGAGTGAGAAGTCCATAGGTAGGGTAGCCGGTAATAATTTCATAAAATATCAGTTTTGGGTGAAAAATTGATAGACAATTTTTATGTGTGATTTCCAGACTGAGATTTCTACCTATACTGTGGTTATGTACAGTTAATTTAAATTTTTATCCCCCCTTTTTGCTTCTGCTCTGCAGACCACAGTTTGAGAAACTTTGGTGTAGAGCTACTAGAATGTGGGATATTTATATTTTATGACTGCTAAACTCATCTAGATTTCCAAAAATTTAAGATAATTGGTCAGTCCCTATTAATTAATTTTTTGTGTACAAGTATTGACTTTAATGAAAATGAATGGATATTTTTTTGTATTTATATAGTATGTATTTCCAAAAAATTATGTGCTTGAAAAACATTCTATAGAAATATTTTGTTTCTTGACGAAGAGAATTCAGTATTAGTTGCTCTGGAAATCGGTAGAGCTTTATATAAAATCTCCATCAGTCTACTTTTTTTTTTTTTTTTTTAAGTGTCATATTTTGTATTGTCACCTGTTTGTTTATTTCCAGTATATTAAAGACGTGCTGTGCAGTGCATTTTGATAACCTGTAGAAAGAGAAAGATCCATGCGTTTCTTCATTAAAGTCAAACAGAAACATGTATTTGATGACATAAACTCTATCCAGATGTGGTATCAAGATGGATTTCTTATTTCAGAATTAAATCTACAGTTCTACTGCAGTCAAAGACATGCATATTAACATGAGGGAGGATGAAATTCACCAAGTGTTGTATTCTCCAGATGTGATGGTTTTTTTCATGATGTTATGGCCATATGAGCTAGACTTTGTTGGATGAAGGTAATCTTTGTTATTTTACTCATTATAAATCTAGTTTTTAAAATGTTGAGATGATTATTATAAACAGTTTCTGTTTTTAGATGCAAAGGGGAAGTAACACAGTTTTATGTCTTGCATTTTGAAATTAAATTTTACATCCTAGAGTGAGGATTATTAGTTAATTTCTATTTTAAATATGTATCAAACAGCATCAAATTAATTTTAAAATTAAATAATTACAAACTGTTTTTTCCAAAGGCTAGGCAAAAAGTTACAAAGAACTAATACAAAAGAGGATAGTTTTGTTATTATAATAACAGTGATTTTCAATTTACTTTTACATTAACTATTTTGGACTCTACTGATTTAATTCAATAAATAAATTTTTGGTTGAGGCATGTTTGATATATTCTTGGTTCCATGTCAAAATCACAAATATATATATTTTTTCAGTTTTCATCTAAACATTATTTTTTAGGTTGTCTTTCAATACTTTACACTATGCTTTAAAAAAAATTATACATCTTATGAGAGAGAACTAACTATATGAAAATTTTACATGAAACTCATATCTTGATTTCCCCCAATATTAATTGACTTTCCTAAATTTTAAACTTTTTTTCTTTAAACTGAAGTTTTGTAAATTGATAGTTTTGATATGGCATTGATGATTTGAGCTTTATTGTTTTTTGTTTGACTTCTGATAGGTAGTTTAATAATATTATTATGTAACCTAATAAATAATAACACAAATTTCTAATTAACATATGTACTTGTATTCAATCTCAGACATGATTGAATTTTAATAAAAGATGCAGAGGTGAATCAAGAGTTCAAACTACAAAAGATCAATATTTTCTAATTTGGAATAATTAGCTCATAATAATAATATTTAAATATCATGTTTTTGAACATTTCTGTGCTAAACAGGAACAAGATAATATTATTGCTTTTACTCATGTCCATTTTCCAGTTATGTTTATATGAAAAAGTTCTAGAAAATTTGTTTGCACTTGTGAAACAAATTGCAGACTTATGTGCAGAAGCAATAAATCTCATTTTTTTAAACATTGTCATTAAATTTCTTATCGCAGAAATTTTAATTTTATTATATATACATGTGTATGCATGTGTATATAATATACATCTCCCATGTACTGTATATATATATATTTGTACTGTATGTATATGTACAATACAAAGTCCGAGATCCAGACTCATTGGGACTTTGACGAATCAGGATTTAACATTTTTTTGGATATTAATTAGATCATCTGTTTAAATCTAATAAGAGGACATATAGAATATATAAAATTAAAAAATATGAAGCATTTATGTCCTCAAGGGAATCAAAATTTACGAAAGAAAAAAACCTGAATGTTTATTTGTTTGCTTTATTAAACATTTCTTTCAATGTAAATTGTTCATTTCCTAGTTGGAAGTTGCTTTGCGTATGGTACTAATAACTTTGTCTTTAATTCTATTGATCAAGTTAAGTTCTTGTTCAGTTACAAATTTCCATTGTTCAAGTCCTATAATCACTATGTCAAGAATTCTCACTAAATTGCCAGTCAAAATATTTTTCTTCTTAACAACCTCTCTGTCACTTTTTCACTTTCGGTAGTGATATTTTCAGAATTTAGATCCATGCCACAGATTTCACTGTCCGTTAATTCATTGGGCATTTTCATCACAGTGAAAACCATCTATCCGCCAAACATTCGCGCCAAACATATTTGGCGAGAAACTCTTGCCGTATTACTATCTAAATGTTTTGTGTACATTTCGAACTTTAAGTCCAAAATGCCTGCAAAAATGTGGTTTTCGTGCATGCAAAAAGCATGTTTTTAACACACAATTTACACCAAAAATCGTTTTAACACACAATTTACACCAAAAATCCAATACAAAAATAAAAAAAAAAAAAAATTTAGATAGCAAAAACATAAAATTTCTAACCAAAAATATTTGACAAGAATCCATGTATACAGCGATCTGTTTTAACTTTAAAAAACATCAGCAAATTGCACAATCTAGGCCTCACGTACAGCCTCTGCATTGCACCCAAATCAATAAAATTAACTGTAAAAATAACTAAATTACAAACAATTCAAAAAACAACAACGACAGAAATTCATAGCAAAAAAAAAAATAATAATAATAATAATAATAATAAACATAACATTCTACAAAATAAGAATAACAATAGGTACTTATGGAAAATCCCTTC